TATCGCTAACAAGAAACCTAGAAATTGAATTCCACTAATGAAAATCCTAAATCCGTAACTACAACTAATACTAACAAGAAATAGATAAAATAAATCTATTACTGAAAATCTTGACTTTGTCTCTAATGCCAGCAAGAAAAAAATAAATCAAACTCTTTTACTGAAAATCCTGACTCTATCACTAATGCTAACAAGAAACAAATAAATTAAACTTTTTTACTGAAAATCCTGACTCTATCACTAATGCTAACAAGAAACAAATAAATTAAACTTTTTTACTGAAAATCCTAACTCTAACACTGATGCTAACAGGAAAATATCACTGATGCTAGCTGTAAAACAGATAAATTAAACTCTTTTAATGAAAATCCTGACTCTATCACCGATACTAACAAGAAATAAATAAATTAAACTCTTTAGTGAAAATTCCGACTCTACCATTGATGCTAACAGGAAAATATCACTGATGCTAGCAGGAAACGGATAAATTAAACTCTTTTAGTGAAAATCCTCACTCTATCACTGATATTAACAAGAAACAGATAAATTAAACTCTTTTAGTGAAAATCCTGACCCTATCAGTGATGCTAACAGGAAAATATCACTGATGCTAGCAGGAAACAGATAAATTAAACTCTTTTAGTGAAAATCCTGACTCTATCACCGATGCTAACAAGAAAATGTCTCTGATGCTAGCAGGAAACAGATGCTAACATGAAAATATCTGTGATGCTAGAAGGAAACAGATAAATTAACTCTTTCAGTGAAAATCCTGCATCTATCACTGATGCTAACAGAAAAATTCTGACTCTATCACAGATGCTAACACGAAATAGATAAATTAAACTCTTTTAGGGAAAGTCCTGACTCTGTCACTATGATGCTGACAAGAAACAGATAAATTAAATTTCTTTACTGAAAATCCAGACTCCAAAACTAATCCTAACAAGAACTAGATAAATTAAAATGTCTTACCGAAAATTCTGACTTCGTCACGGATGCTAACAAGAAACAACTAAAATGAACTTGGTAGAACAGTTTTCAAATTTGATTTCATTGCAAATGAGAAGGAAAAGAAATGAGAAATTAAAAACGATCTGAAAACTTACAATTTTGATGAATGTTTGACGATGCAACGGCGGAAGGCGATGTTTATTAGACAAATGCACTGCAGAAGGCCATGTCTGAAAAATACACACTTATAATTATGTACATTTAGTTTGGATCATTGACACTTTTGCCCCTATTTTGTGCTGATAATTTTTTTCTGTGACACATAAGTCTATATTTTTTTATGTTACTAATTCTCGACACGTGATTCTCGACACGTGTTTTGCACGTGAGTCTCACGAATATACATATGTGAGTTATATTAAAATCAATATTATTATTTTCTCCTAACATCACTATTATGTATTAATTTTAATTACTTTTATTTAAACTAAATATATTTTACATAAACTATTCAATTACTATAAAATTCATCGTGTATTAATAGAAGTTTTGTCAATTAAATAGCACTCAAAAGTATAATAACACATTCCTAAAAATGCAAAATAATACGTAGTTACATAAATATATGACTTTCATACCAAATTCATTTTGAACAGCCATACCTTGACTCGAAAATGGAAAAGAAAAAAACCACTACACGCCCTCACCTGCAGAGTCACAAGGTATGGCATCCACAAGAAAGAAGTAACGTCGTTTAATTCCAAGACAACTTGATGTAGAGTGAGGTTTTTGAGCTTGTGGAAGCCCCTAAAGTCACACGGCGGCTTGAAAATGCAGTTGGACAGTCTCAAACCTTCTAGTTCTCGATCGTAGATGCAGGAAGGTAATTTGTAAAGAGCATTGGATTGATTCTGCAGGGTGAGATCAGTGACACCGTTTCTTGACAAAATAAGCATCCATTGATCGATAACTGAGTGTTGAGAATAAGGTATTGATGAAATGTTCACGCTGAATGTCTTAATGTCTCCACAGTGCTGCAACAGAATTGTATAAATAACGTCTGTTAACGGCTTTCTCTGGCAAAACTGAGGAGAAAATACAAGTTTGGGATTTGAAGCCCAAACATGTCTCCACGGTGTAGACAAAACGCTCATTCTTGCAGCTTCCTCCACGGACAATTGCTGCTGAATCCGGTATTTGACATTAATGGGAAGATTGGAAAGTCTATCAAGTTTTTCCCCTTCAACGTTACGTCTCTTAATGTTGCGACAAATCATATTCATTTTGAGTCCTGAGTATTTGGAAAGGGAAAAAAGTCAGAACATAAGAAAGACAGTAAAACATGCTTCAATATGCTGCATATGACTCATTCTCTACCACAATAATCAGTATGGAGAATGAATCTACGACAAAACGCGCAAAGTTACCTAAATAATCCTTAAACAACAAAGGCGGACTTATGATTTAGTATTCGTTGAAATTTTAGTAGTTTTTCACATACTTGTAAACTCTCGCGTCAAAATTCTTCAGTTCAGTTAACAAGCAGTACAAAGGCTGCATTCATCACTTCTGTTGGACCAATTATCAATTTACGACAACAACATACATAGTGTATTCCCACAAGCAGGGTCTGGCGACCACTACCTCAGGGAGATAAAAAGGCTATTTGAAAGACTATCTGCTCAAGCAACGCATAATAAAACAGTTTGAAAAGAAGAATATAAGACTATAAACATGCTTCAACATGTTGCATATATATGACTCATGTCTACAACATGGGGAATGAATCGTAAGTCAAAGCAAAATCAACTAGAATAATCTTTCCGACTTAGTATTTGTTGAAATTTTAGTAGTTTTTCACATCGGTTTGAGTCAAAAAATGTTTGGTTCAGTAACTGGACAGCAGAAACGCTGCCTCCGCCACTGTCGTTAGACCAATCATCAATCTACAACAACAACAACATACCCTATATATTTCCACAAGTGAGGCGCAAACCTTATTCTTAAACTCGAGGCAAAAAAAATGTTGAGCTCAGTAAATACAGCACAAAAGACTTCATCCAGACCAATTATCAATTTACAACAACGACATACCAATGTATTCGCACAAGTGAATCATAGACCTTAACCCTACCTCATTGAGATAGCGATCATTGATATAAGTAAACATAATAAAGTTGTTTTAAAAGGAGAATACAACAGTAAATAAGACATATATAGAAACTAAATCTAGCAAATAATAGGAAAAGTGTAACACATGCAACCAATTAAACTCTTTTAGTGAAAATTATGGCTTTGTCACTGATCGCTAACAAGAAACATATAAATTGAATTCCACTAATGAAAATCCTTTACTCCGCAACTACAACTAATGCTAACAAGAAACATATAAAATAAACTCTCTTACTGAAAATCTTGACATTGTCTATAATGCTAACAAGAAACAAATAAATCAAACTCTTTTACTGAAAATCCTAACTGCTACCAGGAAATAGATAAATTAAACTCCTTTAGTGAAAATCGTGACTCTATCACTGATGCTAACAAGAAACAAGATAAATTAAACTCTTTTACTGAAAGTCCTGACTCGATGCTTACAAGAAACAGATAAATTAAATTTTTTTACTGAAAATCCTGACTCCGAAACTAATGTTAACAAAGAACTAGATGAATTAAAATCTCTTACGGAAAATTATGACTTCGTCACTGATACTAACAAGAAACAACTAAAATGAACTTGGTAGAACAATACTATATTTTGTTGTGTTAGATAATTTTTTTTGACGCTTAATTTTATATTTTTTTATGTTATAATATCTCTGTACTTTTCGTCTTTAATGGTGTTATAATAGTATTGATATGTTAAAAGGGAAAAAATGCAAAGTAAAAATATAGTGTTAAGAAATTTAAATAAATTTTTGAACGAAACTTATATGAGAATTAAATGACGGAGAGCAGATCGAAGAGATAAATTTCATGACCTTTAAATTGACTGAGTTTTGAAGGAAGTATGTTCCTCCTCGAATGGAGAAAATAAAGTAAAGAGACTTTATAAGATATATCTTAGATCGAAAAAAGAAATGTTAAAGTGAACACGTTAATTATATGTGAATTTCATTAGGGTTTTTATAAGATATATCACAAATCAAATATATTTAGATCGAAAAAAAAAGTTATTCTTGAGCAAAATTTCGTAACAAAGGCTAGTTTGAAGAAAAGCAATTCGATAGTTTTTAAATTGATAAATTTCCAAAGATGAACATATATTTTATATCTCAGATGGGGAAATAAGTAAACGAGATTTATAAGATATATTAACTAAGATAAAAAAAAAAAATTACTTCGAGCAAAATTTATATGTAAATTTTATAACAGAAGTTGGGGCTAAGAAAACACTAAACTTCTAGACTAGCAATTTTCGAAAAAGGGAATATGTTATATATTAAATGAACTTTATAAGACATATCAGAAAGGAAATATATCTTACTTTATAAGACAATTTCTCAAAAAAAAAAAAGATAATGTTATATCGCGGATTAAAAAATAAGTAAAAAGGATTTTTAAGATATGTCACAAATCAGATATATCATACTTAGATATAAAAATTTTGTTCTAATTAAATCTTATATGTGAATATCTTACCTCGATTAGGTCGAAGAAAAACACTCTATTTTTTCAAGTAAGGGGATGCGTTGATGGGGAAATAAGTGAAGAGACTTCATAAAGTATATCACAAATCAAACATATCTTTTTCGACTAAGATAGAAAAGAAATATTTTTAAAATTTTTGAGAGAACAGTTGCACTATCAGTATGCTTTGACATGCAACATGACACCTCTTTTGGGGTGCAAGCCCTTTTTCGAATCCCACAAACACGAAATGTTTTATACACCCAACAGCCCTGTATTGTTAAAGAAACAAAGTACAAAGTTTATAGGCAAAAGCTGGGGCAAAGTAAAGATTTTTTATACTATTCTTAGTCAATTATAAAGACAAGAGTTCAAGATGCCTTTTTGTTTTTCCACGCCATCAATACTGTTTCCACTTACCCTCCAACATGACTCGAACAATTCGGAGCCGTGATGCTTCTGTTTGATCGACGGTTGACATGTATTTTCAATTTCGGAGATGCTCGAGGGAAACTCATCAACTCCTGTGAGATCTTCAAGGATTGGCTTTCATCAACACTTCCTACATCTTCATGAATGATGGTGTTCAGGAGCACAGGTGCAGACGCGAAGATGAACTTTACAAAGAACATTTCGATTTTTGAACCATGGAAATGGTTTATCATCAATCTCTGAAGCTTATGAAGTACTCCTAGTGTCCTGTAGGCTGGTCCTTCAAAATGATTTACGACGTTGATCACTTTCATGTCATCTGTCTTCTTCTTCTTCGAGTTCAACGCTAAATGAAGGTCAACCAAATGGGGAGAAACTGTAAGAATTCGTAGAAGAGAAAATATGTGATCGTCATCATCAAAATCGAACTCAGATAAAGTGATAGACTTCAAGCTGTTGAGGTATGTCGGGAGTCTTTCTGCTTCTGTAGCAAACGACTTGAGGAAGTAACAACTGTCCAAACCAAAACTACAAATTTCAGGCCAGCATTTCAGAAGATAGGTCAAGTTCATCACTTCGTGTTGATTCTGTTTTGACGATACAAGTACAACTGTTTTCAGCTTCTGACAGTCCATGAAATGACCCAACTCCAAGTCCTCGGTTCTCCTGGTAAAGAAAAACAATTCGGAAAGTCTTGGAGCATAGACTTTCGAGTTAGGGAAACCACTACATTCCCTCACATGGAGAGTCACAAGGTATGGCATCCACAAGCAAGGAGTAACGTCGTTTAATTCCAAGACAACTTGATGTAGAGTGAGGTTTTTGAGCTTGTGGAAGCCCCTAAAGCCACACGGCAGCTTGAAAATGCAGTTGGACAGTCTCAAACTTTCTAGTTCTATATCGTACATACAGGAAGGTAATTTGTAGAGAGCATTGGATTGATTCTGAAGGGTGAGATCAGTAATACCGTTTCTTGACAAAAAAGAGATCCATCGATCGATAACTGAGTGTTGAGAACAAGGTATTGATGAAATGTCCACGCAGAATGACTTAATGTCTCCATAGTGATGCGACAGAATTGCCTCAATGACGTCTGTTAATGGCTTTCTCGCGCAAAACTGAGGAGAAAATACAAGTTTTGGTTTTGACGCCCAAACATATCTCCACTGTGTAGACAAAACGCTCATTCTTGCAGCTTCCTCCACAGACAATTGCTCCTGAATCCGGTACTTGATATTAATGGGAAGATTGGTAAGTCTATCGAGTTTGCCCCCTTCAACATTACGTCTCTTCAAGTTGCGACACATCATATTCATTTTGAGTCCTGAATATTTGGAAAGGAAAAAAAGTAAGAACATAAGAAAGACTGTAAAACGTGCATCAATACGCTGCATATGACGACTCATTCACTACCACAATAATCCCTATGGAGAATGAATCTACGTAAAAGCACGCAAAGTTACCTAAATAATCCTTAAACAACAATGGCTAACTTCCGATTTAGTATTTATTGAAATTTTATTCGTTTTTCACATACTTGTACTGTTGAGTCAAAAAATGTTTAGGTCTGCTGTTAACAAGCAGCGCAGACGCTGCATTCACCACTACCGTTGGACCAATTATCAATTTACAACAACATACCTAGTGTATTCTCACAAGCATGGTCTGGGGACCACTACCTCGTGGAGATAAAAAGGTCATTTTCGAAAGACTATCTGCTCAAGCAAAGCATAAAAAAACAGTTCGAAAAAAGAAGAATATAAGACTAAAAACATGATTCAACATTTTGCATATGACTCATGTCTACAGGACAGGGAATAAATCTTAACACAGAGCATAATTAACTAGAATAATCCTTCCGACTTAGTATTTGTTGAAATTTTAGTAGTTTTTCACATATTTTCGAACTATAGAGTAAAAAAATGTAGGGTTCTGTAACAGGACAACACAAAGGCTGCCTCCGCAACTGTTGTTAAACAAATCATCAATCTATAACAACAACATACCCAGTATATTTCCACAAGTGAGGCACAAACGTTATAGTTAAACTCAAGGCAAAAAAAAAATGTTGGGCTCAGTAACATACAGCACAAAGGCTGCATCCAGATCAATTATCAATTTACAACAATGTATTCGCACAAGTGAATCACACAACTTAACCCTACCTCATCGAGATAGAAAGGTTATTACGGAAAGATCATCGATACAAGTGACGCATAATAAAGTTGTAGTTTAAAAAGGAGAATACAAATAATAAAGTTGTAGTTTAAAAAGGAGAATACAACAGTAAATAAGACATATATAGCAACTAAATCTAGCAAATAATAGGAAAAGTGTAACACACCCAATTAAACTCTTTTACTGAAAAATAAACGCTCTCAGTGAAAATTCTGACTCCGTCAAGGGGTGGAGCCACTTTGTACGAAGGGGGTTTTGGCAGAAAATTATATTATTTTTATATGATTAAGATAATTTTATATGTATATATATAATAGTCATCGATCCCCTTGTTGAAAATCCTGGCTAACAAGCAACAGAAAAATCAAATTTCCTAAATGAAAACTATGACTCTGCAACTAATGCTAACAAGAAACAGATAAATTAAACTCTCTTACTAAAATTCCTGACTCTATCACTGAGTCTAACAAAAAACAGATAGATTAAATTCAAATCGTAACTCCACAACTAATGCTAACAAGAAACAGATAAATTAAACTCTCTTACTAAAAGTCCTGACTCTATCACTGATGCTAACAAGAAACAGATGGATTAAGTTCAAAATCGTAACTCCACAACTAATGCTAACAAGAAACAAATAAAATGAACTTTGTATAACAATTTTTAAATTTGATTTCATTACAAATGGGAATGAAAAGAAATGAGAAATTAAAAACGATTGAATGACTTACAATTTTGATGAACGCAACGGAGGATGGCTATGTTTATTTGACAAATGCACGGCGGAAGGCAACTGAATAAAAATGACCTAGTTTGACTGAGAACAGAGTTTTAAAAAAGAAGACTTTTTAATTTTGTGTCTAAATTAAAGTTATATCAAAAAATAAAATGGATCATTTTTTAAAAAAAGACAGATTAAAAAAGAAATAGATTCATTATTTTTAAAACAGAGGGAATATACACTTATAATTATGTACACTTTCGCCCCTATTTTGTGTTGATAATTTTTTTTTAATAGAGCATGAGTCTATATTTATCATATTATAAATTATAATATCTCACAAGTTGTGTTTCTCGTCTGTCTTTAATGATGTTAACTAATAATTGATGCTAAAAATATTATGTTAAGTAATTTAAAATAAAATTTGGATAAGTCTTATATGTGAATTCAATGATGGAGATCGGATCAAAGAACGGTTTCTAGTTTCTAAATTGATATTAAGTATAGAAACATTACAAAATATATCATAAAATAAGATATATCTTACTTAATTTGGACAGAAAAAAATTATTTTGAGTTATGTGAATTTTACGATGGAGATTAGGTCGAAGAGAACACACGACAGCTTGTACAATAGCAAATTTTGAAGGAGGAGATATAAGAAATCTTGGATGGAGAAATGGTGAAGTAACTTATAAGATTTATCTTACTTAATAAAGATAGAAAGAAAAATATTTTGAGTAAGTCTTATATGTGAGTTCCACGATAGAGATCAGGTCAAAGTGAACTCACGATAGCTTGTATAATGACAAATTTCAAAGAAGGAGATATAAAATATTTTGGATGGAGAAATAAGTAAAGCAACTTATAAATATATCTTACTTAACTGAGATAGAAAAAAATGTTTCACAGTCTTATATTTGAATTTATTGACAGAGATCATGTCAAAGGAAAAGACTTGATGGATTTTAAACTGACAAGCTTCTAAAGAAGATATATATGTTACGCTTTGAACGGGGAATTAGTAAAGAGACGTCATGAAATATAGAATTTTTTTATTCTGAGTGAACTTGATATGTATATTTCAAAAGAAAGGTGAATTAAAAAAAAACGAAGCCGAATCACTACTAGTAGACGTTTGGCCATGCGATATCATATTATGATATGATATCATGAGATGGAATCAGCGTTTGGACCTGCGATTGAATGCTGATTCCATCTCATGATGTGATTTCATATTCTCCAAAAAACATGATATGGAATTTATATTTTGTTAAAGTCACCTCACATTTATATCTACGAATCATTTATTTCATATGTGCGTAAACAAAATTTATAATCATGTCATTACTTTTTAAAATTTATTATTCTCACCAACATATAGTCACTTTAACTCACACCAAACCGATTTGATAAAATGATGATATATTTATGGTCTATAAATATGAAAATATAGTTGTGAATGATATTGAACAACAAATGGCTCAAAGTAACAGTGTTGGTTCGTCTTCTCAGTCACATGATCGAGAAATGTAAGTTCAACTTGATGAAATTGTTCGTACTATGTGGAAACTAGTATACTACAATTTACATTCAATTTTTTTAATTAAATTAAAGCTAGATGAAAAAATTACTTAAATGGAGAATCAATACCATTTTAATAATTTATTATGCGATTTAATAATTTTTATTTGATAAGATTGAATAATAAATTGGGAATATTTTAATAATTTTACAACTTACGGAATTTTTATGTTTATGAGAAAATATACAAACACAAAAATTTTATATCGCATGTCCAAACAAAATTTCAATTTCATCTTATAATTCCATATCATGATAGCATATCACATAATACAGTAGCCACGACTTAAACCGTGGCTAAATAACGCTATTAAAAAAACTTATTGTTGTTTTTCTTTTTTAATTGTTTCAGTTTTTGGTGGAAAATGAATATTTACATCGTTTTATTATTTTTGTTTATTTTTTTATTTATTAAGACGAGAATGAATGATAATCAAATGAATAGTGATACATTACATAGTTGTTTATATAATTTGATTTATTACATATACACTACATAATTATTTGTACATTATATGTACATGCTTATATATATTTTATACAGAGATTTGATATATATATAATATTAATACATTGGCGATTATTTTTTATCAAAAAAATGAAATTATGAAAATTCTTTTGTCTTATTTATATTCTTCTTCAAAATCTACATTACATACTCTTACGCACTACATAATTATTTATACAACATCGATATATTACGTAATTATTTATATATATCATATATACATGTTCATATACCAATTATAATATTCATACATGTTTATACATTATTTACATCATTGATACAGATTGGGAAGTAATTAAAAAAAATTATTAGCCATGGTCAAATTACAGCTAATAAACATAAAATAAATCATGGCTAATAAAAGTAAAAATAACATTATTTAGCCATGATTTAAAGGTGACTAAATAGCTATAAATAGTGAATTTAACTATACTTCATCTTATTATATTCTTGAATATAATGTTTACAAACTAATAATTTTTTGGATACATAAAATTATCGTGTAAAACAATTCGGACCAAACAAGTGAACAATGTACCATTCGAATTATTCGTCACAAAGTTGGGAATATATTTTTGAACTCGATATAATACAATTTTTTTATAGGGAAAATTGTATATAATAACAAATTAATAACCTAAAATAAATGGAATAGCTAGGGTTTGATTTAATTGTGCTCCATAACAAACATTAGCTAAAGTTTGTCATGCGTCTCTCTCTCAAAAATCTCGCTCGCCACTCTCCATTCTCGCTCGCCTCTCTCGCTTTATACACAAAAGTGTATAAATTCTGTTTCTGTTTGTATAAAGCGAGAGAAAATTGTATATACACATGCAAAAATATATATCTTCGTATTATACACTTAATTGTACAATTACAAACATTTTACTTCAAATATTGCAGAGAAAAAGGCCAACAAATTATACAATTGTGAATTATACAATTGCAGTGAAATACAATTTTCTCTAGCTTTATACAACAGAAGTGTATATATTGTGTTTCTGTTTTTGTATAAAGCGAGAGAAAAACATATATCTTCTTGCTATACACTTATAATTATGCAATATACATACATTTTAATTCGATTCAACTGTATGCAAAACAAATTTTATAAAAATATTACAGCGAAATAGGCAGCGAATTATACAATTGTGTATTAGACAATCGCAGTGAAATAGGATAGCGAATTATACAATTGTAGCGAAATAGGCCAGCGAATTATACAATTTAGGCCAACGAATTATACAATTGTATATGTATAGCGAATTATATAGTTTTATGTTTGCTATGGACGCAATTATGCAAACTTTGGTATAGCATACAAA